CTTACACATAAGATTTAATGATCTTTCACGGGAAGTGACTAATTCGTTTAAGATTTAATGATCTTTCACGGGAAGTGACTAATTCGTTTTTCATCGATTTTGAAAAAATACAATTTTTGAGGTAAAACACAGTTGTATTAACAGGCCGATATAATTATTTTGTGAAAATATTCCACTAGTTTGTTATTATTATTCACACAAAGATCGAAGAACACAAAAAAAATCCTTTCTGTGCACCAGGCTTTATCCCACAAAGGGAGGGTCCATTATGAGAGGAGGTCCGTGTACAGCAGTGGTATTATACCATACGCTAACTAGTACATTATTTATTATTACCAATTACCTGGGCCCCTAGTCTGCTATTTTTAAATAACCTCAGTTGCGTGTTGATAGAGTGTGAATGACCGGATTTTGTAAGAACTCCTTGTGGAAGAGTTCGTCCAGGGAACTGCCACCTTACCTATTTCAGCCGCCAAGCAGTAATGTGAGCATTACTACGTTCTGGTTGGAAGGGTAAGGGTGCAGGTGAAATTACAGACACATGGGACTTGTCAACTTGTCGCATGGTGACGGGCGCAGTGGCAGTGCCCCTAAGATCTTTGCGATTAAAAATTCTTATTGTCACTGCAACTGTTATGGACAGGCGTGTCGCTTACCACCAGGTCCACGTTTTGTTCATCTTGTCACTTGTGAGTAATGGTTTCAAGAAAATTAATATACTTGGGGGCCCGATCTTAAACTAGGATATTCCCTGTACAATGAGTACCGAGGCAAGAAATTAACGAAGCGAATCTCATCGTGAAGATGGTAATGATGATATTCTGTGATGATACTAACCGTAAACGATCCGGCTCGGCACGATGAGCTTGGCGGGACAAGGGATCTTGGGGGGCAACACCATCTCTTCTCCCTCCAAAGGGGGCGGTGGCGGGGGTGGAGGTTCTGGTTCTTCCTGGTCGTAAAAACAGATAATTTTACACAATACACGTTACTGTCTACAAGGACAAGGTATAACAGGTGACATTATTGCTAAGTAGTAATCTCTTCCAGGCAACTTTAGGTTGAAATGAAGCAATTTGTAGGAACAGAGCTAGTGACTAATGCATATTATGTATATTGGATATCGCGAAATGTATAAAATAGTAACTTAGCTAGCAAATTGGTTAAGCAAGAAATTGAAACGAGAATGTATATTTATGAACAATATATATTTCTTGTAATTCAAGTGTAAAAAAATTTAAGATTAGGTATGGAAAATTGCTAATAATAATAATATGTACTGACATCATTCTGTAAACAATAAAGGGTACAAATTGAAAGTTAACTGCATCTACTACGGGTCAACCGAGTATGTCAATGTGTACGTTGAGCCCATCGAACAGAGTAAGGAAAAACAATTAAATAAACGATTATTGCTGCAAGCCGATGTTGTCCAAATGCAACTCATATGAATACAATGTTAGGTAGACAATACGGCAGCTGTATGTTAAACCAGGGTTCGAAATTATCAGGTATTTATTTTCTTGGACAATTATCCGATACATATTCGATAATTATCCATACTGAATCAAAGTTGTGTCTTTAATTTTTGACTAACAAGACAACCAGTGAAAAAACTAAATAAATACGAAGGAAAATGTTTGGGAAAACGATTTGGTTTGGAATTTTTTTATATTGACATTTGACACGTTTTGGATGGAATTAATTTAATAAATATCAATGATAATTATCAAAATAATTATCAATAGCATTGATAATTATTTTGATATCGATGATATTCAAAATCATTATCAATGATAATTGACACGATAATTATCACTTCGAGCTCTATATTAAACTACTACATCATTATAAAAATAAAAGTAAATTCTAGTAACCGGTGGAGTGTGTATTTTCCATCCTTGTAATCTGGCCATTCTTTCACAACTGCACTTTTGTTTAAAAGGTTTCGCGGCAGCCTGTAAACCGATTGACGTCGTAAATATAAACATAATCATTTGTAGCCGTGGTGGTCTAACCGCCTCTCAAGCAGAGGATTGTGGGTTCGGATCCGGGGATACATGTGCGAAATAAATGAATTGAAATTTATCTGCAAAGCAATGTGTGTGAAGTTACCAGTCCTCCAAGCTCTCTCATTGTGAGAGGCGGCCAGTGTCCAACAGTGGAACGGAAAAAAGTCGGTCGTATTTTGAATTTCGGTCACAGTAATCCATAGTTTCCCGCAGTAGTCCCTACCGACAGAGTCCTACAGGAGCGGTAGGGGCGTTGGAAGCAATTGGGGGGCGTCAATGCTATCCAAGGGGGCTACCGCATTTGAAAAAAAACACCCCGAATTATCTATGTATAAACTACGCTACAATTTTTTGAATTTGAATTTTGAAAATGTAAATTTTTCAACAATTCTTTGTGATTTTTGTGGTGGTAGGCGTTGAAATTTTATAATATTGTCTGAGTGGGCGGTGAGCCAAAAACTTTGGAAACCTATGGGCAGTCAGTCTGTCTTTGTAGCCAGTCAGTCAGCAGGTCAACCATGGAGGCTGGCCGCGGCAAAGGTAAGCGGTAACAATAAAGTACTTACTTTTTCCATTTTCGCTCTGGTTTTGGGAACTTTCGATTTCAAATTCTGGTACGCCTTGGCACTATTATCTATTGATAACTGAAAAAAGGGTGTGAAATTTTAAATATACAAAATAAAAACCATTACAAAACTGAAGTTCTGAGTATATAATAATTTATTATTATTATGTGTACGAGTGTGTGTAAAATAGAGAAAAAGAAATATAAATAAATATTATATACATTCTTTCTTTACATTGTGATCATGGACCAAGACTCAAGAGGACTGCTAATCGCGATACAAGAAAGGGTAACCTATCACAAACTCGAATTTTTTTTTCCGAAACGACGTTTGTTCCAATTTTCATTACACTGAAATATATATATAATTCGGTTATAACGAAACCGTTGTTCTTTCAGGATATGTTAGACGTTTATCGCAAAGACACGATTAGGTTCGGTTAGGTTAGGTTCAAAAGAAAAACATTTTCCTCTCAAAATTAATTTCGAGGTTATGAAAATTCGAGCAAACGGTACTTCTGGAAAATATCATTTCGGACTACTATATACTATAATAGGTAACCACAAGAAAGCGTATTCGAGTATTTAGTACTTAGATACTCCAGATGTCGCGACGAGAACGAAATAGCTATTTTTGTAACTAATTTGTTTTACATTGACGAGCTGCAATTTATCAATCTACTCAAATTTCTAGTGATAACAAACAAATGAAATAGATGGCGCTTATTGCACAGATTTTTACGCCATCTACCCATATTAGGAATTTACAAAATAATTTTAGCTCATGGTTAATATTTGAATGAAGAAATATTACAAGAAAAAACTGACTACTTTTATTTCATATAATAATAATAATAATAACGCACACACGCCCGTTGCACCAAGTACCAAGTACCAACGCACACACTCAACATACTAGGGAATCCCTGTGTCGCGGGTGCCATCGACACACATATAGACAACCACAAGCTACACTCAAACTCACGAGACAAATAAGTGTAGGCCATACAAATATTTCTCCCAGCCCGGAAGTCCAACCTGGGACCTCTGCGGCGCAGTCCAGCATAACCGTTCGGCCACGGAGGCAGTTGAAAGCATTAAAGAGGAATTAATTGATATCCACGGCCATAATATAAACTATTTCCATGATGGAGTTACGATCTGCAGCATGGCGATTGGCAGTCTTCTTGAGTTACTGGTCCAAAATTTTAATAATCATACAATTACCTTGTCCTTTAAATCTATGATCATCTGAAAAGGATCGATGGCCTTTTTGGCCATAGTCTCCTCGTCTGCGCCTATAAGGTTTACGGGCTCACCCAGAGTGAGTGCCATGTCGCATTTATTCGCCCATAGGCATAACTAAAAAAGAAAAAACACACTCTAAACAAACAGTATTCGTCTTCTTATCCCCTAGCACACAGTAGTCAAAGTGCGGCTTGCGTTTGATCCGGCACGTCCCTTCTAAAGTAGGATTATACGGGCCCAGGAAACATATTTTGACATATATATGAAATACTAACAACAGCAGAGGACTGTATTAGTATTTGTTTCAAAACTTTCAATAATTTATCTGATTGTACTTTTTTTTAGACACCAAGGGATGGACAAGTCGTGCGCCTGGCAATCGATACTCTTGTCCAAAACAGTTGCAGTGTCAGTCAGAACTTGACGATCACAAATATTGGAGAGGCACTTCAACTGCGCCCCTCACCGTGAGACATAAGTTGAGAAGGCCTCCCACAGCTTTCGTATAAAAATAAGAATATTTAAATAGATCGCTCGAAACGGTGATAACTTTGTGCGGTAACAAAAGAAAGCGCTAGTGTGAATACCAGACCGATGCACAACGCAGGGGCGGGTTTAGGGGTTGTCGGGGAGGACGCCTGTACGTTTGAACTTACTAATAAATAGATATTTAAAAATGTCAGATAATACAAGAAAACTTGAAAGTTTAGTTTTGATAAATTTATTATGTTTTGTATAAAGGTCGGATTATATTAGTAATATAGTCCTGCGAGGTTGTTACAGTCCATTTCACATAGAATGGGTACTGTGACATTTCAAATTTTTACGTTGCAGTCATACTTTATTTATTTATTTATTTATTTTAGGACAACCAACAAGACATGAATTAAATATAACAAAGTTGAAATATTGATACAGAGACTTATACTAAATTCTGCCTCAATTAAAGGTTGCCACGGCCTGCAAATGTGGACACAACATAAAAAAGTAAACTAGTTGATCTAAAGAAATTTTTAAAAAAAACCCAAAATAAGCCATAACTGACATAATATAAATAAGTACATTTAATACAATACAATATTATTATTAAAAAAAGTAACTATTAAAAACAAGATAATCTAATTAAAAATATTTTCAAAATACACACAAATAAAATTTATGTGAAACTACATTGAACGCAGACGTGAGAGCAGCCTTGATTGTGCGCTTAAATCGCGCAGGACTATTCGAAAAAATGTCGATGACACAATCACCCTGCTTCTGCAGGAGGTTATATTGTCTTGGAAGTCGATTCATGTTGGCGTGGTGACCCAGGTTGCTTCTACTACCCTTAACTGAAAATAGTACGTATCTACTCAAGCGAGGCAGCTTATAGGGGACGTTGAAGTTCACCAGTCCCAACAGAAAAGGGCAGTCCACGGCTCCATTCACAATCTTGCGTAAGAACATGTGGTCTAGTAGCAATCTTCTATTCCGTAAACTCATTAAATTAAAATACGAAAGGCGTTTCTCATAAGAGGGCAGCTCTTTACCTTTGTGAGTCAGATAGGAAAGATGCCACATGAATCTCCTCTGAATCTATATTATATATATACCACACGCAAAATAGGCGCCTCGACGTCGAGTTGCGGAAACCAGCCCGTTGCACCAATACCAATATATACTATTTTTAACTAGTCTCTTAGCCAGGTCTCAAAAAGAATTATTTGTTATAATATACCAGAAACAAACAATATTAGTTGCAATTGTAATTTTAAGTAAAACTTACATTATATTAGTAATTTATTTATTCTATCTTCATCAAAAATGAAGATAGAATAAATAAATTACCCCAACCACCTACTTGATGCTTAAAACGGATTATTTCTCCATAAAGATATAATCGATAAATCGAATCGGCAGTTATTAACCGCCGCCAATACCTGCAGGCAAAAACCCTTGGGTTTAATTTACAATGCCGCGAAATGAATGAACTTAAGTGATTTGTGTAACGTACAAACTATAGGAAGATTATTTACTCGCTATAAATTATCTACGGGACTGTGATATTGCGCTCTCTCTCTCCCACTTGCTTAGTGTTGAGGCATAAATACCGTTATTGATAAAACATAGTTACTAAAGGCGCAGGGTCGGTGCGGTACTCTATGGGTAGTTTATTGTCTGCTTTAGTTTAAACATCGTATCCTTTTTATTTTAATACCATTGTTATCAATAATGTATTAAAATGTTTTTTAAAATCCCAGGACCTAAAACAAAATTAATACTTCTGTTCTAAGGAACAGTTATTAATGTCGCATGCCTTCGTGACTTTACTAGTTTTAGGTTAATAATGTAACTTTACATACTTAATTTATATAGTATGTATTTAACAAATAAACTATTTTTATTTCGGTTCTTACTTTCACTATTGCAATAAAATTAAACATGATCTATATCGATAGCATTTATCAACTATAATGCTCTTGTGTTTACACAAAGGCCATACCTTTAACCTACCATGCTTAGAACGCAATATCGCTCAGCTGCTCCTATCTATAATTTACGGCCGAGTCTACGAGATTATAAAAAAAACCGATCTGAAAAGTTAGTGGAAGTACATCTATTTGTAAAGTTTTATTGAAATCAGTTACTGGAAAGTGCGCGAAACCGGATTCAGGGGATGAATTGCTACCCTTAGAGGTGGAATATTTTCTTCAAATTTAAATGGGACCAACACTGAGGTACCTTTTTTCCAACAAAAAAATTCGTATTTTTTTAAATTTTTTAGTAGCAGTAGAGCTCCTTGTGAAAGAGTTCGTCCAGGGAAGTACTGCCACCTTACCTATTTCTGCCGCCAGGCAGTAATGTCTGCATTACTGTGTTCCGGTTTTGAAGGGTGAGGGTGCTGAATAAATGACAGGCACATAGGACTTGTTCAACTTATATCTCAGGGTGACGGGCGCAGTGGCAGTGCCCCTCAGATCTTTGCGATTTAAAGCTCTGGCACTGCAATTGTTATGGAGGCATGTAGCTTACCAACAGGCGCACGCCTTGTTCGTTCCGTCACTTGATATTATTAAAAAAAGTACTGCTCACTTACTTTTAAAGATACGAAACGGTAGCTGCAAGAATCTCGAGACTGCGCGAGAATTCAACGGAAGATACGCAACCTGTTTTTTGGCTAGCGAAAATGTAAATTGAGCAAAAGAAAGACTTTTTACGCGTACCTTCAACAGTGTTATAAAATCCAATTTTTGCTGCTCCTCGTCGGTATTGTTGAGCATGTCTGGCATCTTCTCTGCTACTATACACATAGGTTCTAAGCCTGATGTTACAGCGGAGATCTTTTGCTCTTGAAACGGATCAAAGTTTGCTAGTGACGGGCTGTAATTTGAGCAAGGTAACAACAGCTCTAGTAATAACCACTACAAATAAAACATTCATAAACCTTCACAAAAAACATATAAGTAAATATTGCAAATTAATAAAGCGACATCTCTAGTCAGCTCCTGGTAGCTGTAAACGCACATGGTTAAGTGAAGAAAAAACTTCCACAGTTTTCTCAGAGGTAGCACTACGGCAAAAAAGCCGTTAAAAACCAAAATACCTTCGTTGAAATATTTTTTTCAGCTATATTTACTTAATCTAACACGTTCATGGACAGCACCAGCGTGTACCGTAAAATTAAATATTACAATATGATAATACGGGATACCTAATCTAACAAATACATAATAATCAAAACTCTTTATTATTATTCTTGTCTACATTTTATCATTGATTTTTAAAGTTTTTGTTAAAAAAATGTTAGTGGGGCCACGAGCCCAAGTATTTACACGTTACAGCTACGATCGTTGGTTCCACCATCTAAATGGGGACAAGAGTAATTGAATCCTACTGAACCCACTAGTGGAACCAAGCAATGGGTCCAACAGCCCTAAAGGAAAAGAAACATCTACGGGCTTAACAGTCCAAGTGCTTCCTTTGTAGTTGTACGTTTTACATACATAAGTTGGACATTTTATATTGAATCAATCTAAGCACTACGGTAAGAAAAGTACTGCCATTTTTGTGTGCGGTACTATTAAAGTACTGTCCATGGAAAGGTTAACGACTTTTTTGCCGTAGCACCATCTGCGAGAAATGTATGAAAATTTTTCTTCACTAAATTGTTCAAATTTCTCTTAGATTTCTCATAGGTGGCAATAGCACAGTTCAGCCGGATAGAATTTAATTTTTCGTTGTGTTTGTTTGATCTTTATATCAATAATCGTATCTAATACTTATTTTATAATGCTGTGTATACAATTACTTACTACAATTCGCACTGTTCCTGCAACTTCCTATAGACATAACACTCTGTCCAAAGAAAACTATTGGTAAAATATGTGCTGTATTGAAGCTCATCTATCCACCTGTTCCACTTTTCCGTCTCTTCATTTTTAGCAGTGAAATGTTCGAAGGTTTTATTCGTGGTTAGATCATATTTCAACTTGCTTACATTGCTGATATAATTTTGCGATTCTGCCTAAAATTAGAAAAATTGCTTGTTATAGTATGAATCAATTAGATATCCAAAATGTAAACAAATTGGATAACGTCGCGTTTCTCAAACTCGTATCGCACAAAGTTACTATAGTGTACAAGTTTTGCAGGCTGATTTCACATATTTCCTTCATATTCACACACTGGCCTAACCTATTCTTAAAGTAATGCATACATATTAACAACTCTTGATAAGAAATAATTAAAATAAATATAAAGATTTGCCATCTCCGGAATAATCACTCTTTATAAGATACGAGTTTGAGCAAGTAAGGCATCGATAAAACCGGGCACAAAAAACGCATTTTAAATGGTAGTTTCCTGTTTGTCACTATAATAAATGTTTACAGAACTCGTTTCAAGCTGTAATCTGATAACAAAATTGTTATGAATAAAGTTTTTTTTAAGATTTAGTAGCAGTAGAGCTCCTTGTGGAAGAATTCGTATTTCTGCCGACAAGCTGTAATGTGAGCATTACTGCGTTCCAGTGCTGGTGAAATTACAGGCACGTGGGACTCGTCAACTTATGTCTCAGTGTAACAAGCGCAATGGCAATGCGCTTAAGATAATTGCTATTTAAAGCTCTGAGTGGCACTGCAACTGTTATGGACAGGCGTGTAGCGTAGGCGTGTCGTCCCGTCACTTCATACCATAAAAAAGTAATAATACTATATTTTTACAAATAAAAACACAAAGTGATGTTTATTTTTAATTCTGCAAATGTAGTATTAAATGCATGGGTTTGATGTTAAAATTTTTGGTATTTCTAGATTTATTTAAATAAAGTTCTAGGTGTCCTTTTACTCACTAGTTAACGTAGTTTCAATATCAGTTTTTGATATCTCTTTTATTTGCGGAATGATCGTCTGGGGACACTTAACGATTGCACCCTGTATATTTGTATTTTCAATTGAATATTATTTTTATAGACTTAACATGGCGACCTTTGACCACAAAATTATCTTAGGCGACAGATCTAGTTTTTTTTAACTTTGTGTTTACTGGTTTCAAATTTCATACATATCAGTTTTTTATTGTGATACTTACATTTATTTTCAAAACTAATAATGTCATGTAACTCCAGCGATATTTATTTATGTTTATATGTTGGACATTTTTGCTGATATAAGAGGTTAGACTTTAGGAACCGTTTGGTACATATAACTCATTTTTTGATAATTTTGTGGATTGGATCCTTTTTGCTTAACTACGTCCGGTTGCAGTGCCACTCAGAGCTTTAAATCACAAAGATTTGAGGGGCACTGCCACTATACGCCCATCGTCACGCTGAGACATAAGTAGACAAGTCCCATGTGCCTGTAATTTCACCAGCACTCTTACCTTTCAAAACCGGAACGCATTAAGCTCACTTTATTGCTTGGCGGCAGAAACAGGTGCAATAAAGTTTCTAAGAAAGCTTCCCTTTTAATGACGCCTAGGTATATCTATTTGAATCTATGCGAAAAACAATCTTACCCCAGGCTTTGTTCTGTTAACATAATCTATGACTTTGGTTAAAATAATTGGCAATCGTTCTTTCAAACAATGGTATGCGTAGCTCCTGAAACAAAAAAATACATTAATTCATCATCATCCTTCTATGTTCCCTTCTCTGGCGAGGATTTGGGCCATAGTTTACGTGACCATACGTCCGCTTTGAGCGGGACAGTCCCGCTTTTAAGCTTCGTGTCCCGCTGTCCCCAACATATTTAAAGATGTTCCGCTGTGACAAAACAGGGCACACGTGACAAAAATTTTAAAAAATGGCGCGAAAGCGTAGCAGCAAGTAAGCCTTGTCGCCCGAGCTTTTTATTTTTTTATTGTATTATTTATTGCACAGATTATATTTAATAAAAGGAAATTAAAACAATAGGTACTGCTTATTTCTGTAAGAAATTTCTTCCTGCAAACAAAAAACAAGCTTAAATCTAATTATTATCCAAATAAAATGAAAAAGAGAGGGTTTGTTCTATGATATAATACCTACCAACTTGTTAACGCGGAATCAACTTAAGGTTAAATAGTCTTTATGCTCAGGCAATAAGATCGGTAATCTAGTAGCAGTAGTGCTCCTTGTGTGCATGTGAGCATTACTGCGTTCCGGTTTTGAAGGGTAAGGGTGCTGGTGAAATTTCAAGCACATGGAACTTGTCAACTTATGTCTCAGGGTGACGGGCGCAGTGGCAGTGCCCCTCAGATCTTTGGGATTTTAAATTTTAAATTTATTCACTGAGTGGCACTGCAACTGTTATGGACAGGCGTGTCGCTTACCACCAGGCGCACGACTAACTCGTCCAGTCACTAAGTACAAAAAAAAAATGCCGCACTACGCACAGCACTACCAGTTGTATGATGTGTTCCGCGGGGAATGTCGATGAAAAAGTACATTGACCCTCTTATCACCAATTTGCATATAATTATGGACTGCCTTAAAACATTATCCGCTAATTACAATGGTGAATTAGATATAGAAAATTAATATCGTTATATGTATTAATAAGTAAAGAATTCTTCGTTTATTGTTTGCACGTCACGTTTTACTCTAACCTCTCCTTATTTTATTCATCATAATTGAGTCACACAATCTTTCGTCACTGTCTGGGAAATATCTTTAAATTTGTAATAATGAAAAATTACATCTATAAAAAAAGTACTTAAGGTTTAAAATCGATCGTTGCGAGAATTGATTATAAGACGATCCATGCAAAGTGACTGGTAATTTCGCACTAGCACTCGTAGCCCGGATAGCTCAGTCGGTAGAGCATTGGACTTTTAATCCAAGGGTCCAGGGTTCAAGTCCCTGTTCGGGCGGTCTCTTTTTTTCTTTTTTTTTATAGTTTTTTAAACATGTTTATATTTATACATATTTGTTTTTATTTTATTTTTTCCCATTTTAGACTTAAGATTGGTGGGTGGTAAAACGTAAGTGAGTACAGAACGTTTTGTATTTCTCCTATGTAATACTTATTTGCCTTAATTGGTGGCTATTTACTTAATTTGTCTTGGTTAATTGTCTTTTATGACCAATATTTTTTTCATAATGGTATATACGCAAATACGTGACAATTTACTTGCGACAAGCATTGGCAGTGGAGACACGTTTGAAATGAACCTGAAGGCCATTGTACAGCCAACAGAACATCAAGCTCAGTAGCGCCCTAGAGCTCCTTGTGAAAGAGTTTATCCAGGATAGTACTGCCACCTTGCTATTTCTGCCGCCGAACAGTAATGTTAACATTACTGTGTCCCAGTATTGAAGGGTAAGGGTGCTAGTGAAATTACAGGCACATGGGGTTGTCAATTTATGTCTCAGGGTGACGGGCGCAGTGGCACTACCATTGACAAGCGTGTCGCTCACCACCAGGCGCACAATTTGTTTGTCCCCGTCACTCGCTTGGAGATACCAAAAATAATAATAATAATACAAAAATTCAAGAAATAATAAAACTTCCCCGGACATACTCTTTCACAAGTAGCTCTACAGATAAATAAATAAATATTATATTTTATAATAATTTATAACTTCTTATATAAATAAATAAAAAATAGTAATTTATGACAAATTATCCAAAATCGGAACATTGATATCAAATGCCTTATGAAGTTGCTGTATATCCAATGAAATGGACTTCTACAAAAAAATTAGGTAGACTGGTCCTTTTTTTCTGACTCCAACACACCAACTTCATTTTCATAAAATTGTTACATGTGTCTTTTTTCGCTTCGAGGACAGTGTAGTTGTGTATAATATCCGACAAGAATTTCGTAACAATATTTAAATTGCTTTTTAATTGGAAGTTCAAGCTTCAGAACAAAAACTGATAAATCCAATAAATTTCGATTTTAAGTTTGTCTAGTCCCTTCCATTAAATTTATTTCTCGTATTGTGTTCAAATCAGTGCATTATAAAAGTATTTTTAAAGCAGATTTTGCTCTAGCCGTTCAGGATCCTGGATCAGAACTCTTCGATATTTTAACCAAATCATTCGATTGGATGGAGCTATTCAGAACATTCAGAGTTATATGTTCAATTCAGATTATGATATGGATATTAGTCGGTGAAATAGATAATAAGAAAAATTTAAACCCTTCTACATACATTTTTAAGACTTTAAAGGCCTTATAAGGCATAATATAAAAGAATATAGGAATGATTAGTCTTGCATTAAAATAAATTAATAAAATTGAACAAAATCCAGATTTTATTTAAATAATAAGAAATTTCCACATTACATTCTTGCTTTGTAACCAATAGGACGTTCGGTAATTTTAATTCAATAACTGTGTCCTGAATAACATTTGTAGCCTTTGCCGGTCGAGAATTCGAGCTACTAATAAATCTAATTGCATAAATAACTGCCTCAGTGGCCGAACGGTTACCAAGCCGGACTGCCACGCAGAGGTCCCAGGTTCGATTCCCAGTCTGGGAGAAATATTTGGATGGCCCACATTTATTTCTCATGTGAGTTTGCGTGTAATTTGTAGTTGTCTATGTGTGTGTCCATGGCACTCGCGACAAAGGATTTTCCCTAGTGCGGGGCTATGAGTGTGTTGCGTTATAAAAAAAAATCGTAAGGGTGTGACGTCATTTCATTTCGCGTTCAAATATGACAGTATAATGTTCAATTTGGGTGTTGTGAATAAAAATGAAAAGAAATCGGTTACAACTGAGTTATCATAAGATTGTGAATTGACTCTCTGGTTTGCTAAATTACAAAAATTAAACTTGCTAAAACTACCATTTGGCGTTAAAAAAAAGAAATGGTCAAAATGTGTACTTATTGACTATTCAATCCGTTTTATAGGTATTATAGAATGAAATATATATTTATTGAGTATTTATATAGTTTTAATAATTTGATGTTTTTGATATTGTTTTTTTTTTATTCATAATTTTTGTTTTGTTGTGCACTCAGACTCATTATTGTAATTATGGTCTCCTGTATTTAGGTGTGCAGGAAGAAATTTCTGTTAGAAATAAGCTGTTTGTGTTTTCCTTGTTTCTAAATGCGTTTTTGTTTTTTCTGTACAATAAATAACTAAACAAATAAGTGAATACTGCAACATAATAACGGTTACCGCATCGCAAACTTATTAACATTGTTTTGTAAATCAATCCAACTTAGTTCACACTAAGGGTCGTCGTAAGGAACTACTCTACTCAATGCTCAAGTCAGTATTTGAGCAGACTTGAGTATGATTTCAAGCACTAGAAATACGACCCTAATGGCAAGGACTTGAGTATGATTTTCAGTGCTCACTGCAATACTCAAGTCCTGACTTGAATATTGAGTAGAGTTGGAATACGACCCTAGGTGTACCTTTGATTTTTGTCATTTATTTCATTGGTACAGTGTTTAGTTAAAGTCAAGTAATTTTTTAAGGTAAGTTACTCAGCAGTTTTTTATTTTACTTTATGACCATGGATTCAAGTCCTTCAGTTTTAATATTAGAAATGTGATAAACATAGAAACTAATATAAAAACGTAACACCTATTAATAACATACTAGACCGCATGATTGAAACGTTTTCATAATATTTACGATGAAACTAAATAGAAAATGTGATCGGCCATGGGAAGTATACCATTTAATGACGCAGTATAAGCTCAAATCTTGAATATATGCAGTGAGTAATCACAAAGGTCTTACACCACAAATACATTTCAGAGACACTACATCAAATGTTAGACTATTTTCTACATACACTGAGATACACACCACGCTATACAAACTCAGACTTTCTAAACAGCAAAATAAAACATGTTGTTGATAAATTGTTGTTGATAAATGACACACGTGTCCATAACAGCTGCTGTGCCTCTTAGAGCTTTAAAACACAAAGGAGGGGCACTGCCGCTGCGCCCGCTGCCAAAGTTCTGTGTGTTTGTAATTCCATCAACACCTAATCATTCAAATTCGGAACGCAGTAATGCTCACATTACAGCTGGGCGGCAGGACTTCCCAGAACGAACTCTTTTACAAGGAGCTCTACTGCTACTATATTTGATAATTTGTGTAACTCTGGCAGTGGGCCACTGTACCTTTTATAAGTCCCCGAATGCGCCACATTCGTAGGAGTGTTCAAGTCCATTAAACGATCCTCTTTCTTAAGCGGTACGAAGAATGGCCCTCCGTAAATAAAGTCGGGTTTGTTTCCATCCGGATCCTCATTAACATGACATTTGAATGGCTCTGGTTTTGCAGGAGTATCAGCAGGTTTTTCAGAAGTATGAACAGGATTTGCAGAAGTATTAGCAGGTATTGCAGGTTTTGCAGCCATTATCGTAACTTTTCAATACTGGGGTAATTTATAACATTCGATTTAGTCCATTTTACGTATGCTTTTATGAAATGATCGGCTGAGTAAGTTTTTTTGAATTTTGGTCGGAGGGGTTCGAGATTACCATTTTTTTAATTTGACATTTTGGTTGCCGTTTATGAGGTTTGTTTGTTGTAACCATGTAACTTTTGAATTATTGTTTAAATATTTTAAAAAGTTATGTAAATGTAGTATTTATAATTAATTGACAATTTACGTACTTATGTAATCTTATATGCTTTTATAATACTTGTGTATTGTCAAGTGGGTTTGTTTTAAAATTTTTACGGTAACCTACTGAAGAAAAAATACAATAATTATTAGGTTTTCGTTAGTGTAACAAGCTGTTTAAACAGGTGAAATTAAGAACAAATTTTGAGTTTTCTAGCTACCCAATGATACTTTTAAAAGATTTAAGGTCATTGTATTTATGTTACACAAAAAACAATTCTATGATCTTAAGAAGAAAACGCAAAATTAAGTACTCACAACCCATATATTGCACAGTATTCAGCATTCCAAGGAAATGCAATTCTCATTACTGGCAAATTTTCCGTGTCTACTTTGCATTCGTCGGCTTTGGGCATTGATGCCAGTGATTTCCAATCTTCCATTGTACAAAATATCACTTCGTTACTTTCTATTAGTACACTATATATTTTTTTCTACGTAGGATACATTCCTTCTTATCAAATACTTTATCGCGACTGTAGACAGACCAAAACATTCATAGGGTATAATAATTACGACATGCTCTTGACGTAAGCAGCAGACATTTTAAATAGAAACTAATTAGCGTTTGGTCTAAATTTTTATTGGTCGTTTTAGTAATTAATATAGATACTTATACCTATTAATAAAAGCAAATTAATTTAATTTCGCATATTAATAGATGGGCGGTGTATTTTCAGCACATAAAGGTCAAATCACATTATACAGATTAACGGTTTAGCTGATTCATATCTTGATTGCTTTGATTAGCGTATGTATGTACAATTTCGGTAAATATTGATGGAAAATGTTGAACAGAGCTGATCTAATCTACATATTATAAAGCGATCCGGGATGGCATCCGATCCTAATTTATCTCTTTCTGTAAAAATACATACAGCATTTAGACACTTGTGGGTGAAAATAAGTGTTCGATCAATTTAGAAACACGTATATCGATGGTATTTAAAAGAGTATATATACATTATTTGAGGCTATCAGCACAAAAGTGGCGTAACGTACATTCATTCTGTTTTCTGCAATATTACATTATAACACTAAAGTAAATAATTTTTTGTACACACTCATAGTTTGCTCTAGGAAAACCCAGTATCGCATTATAAACATATTTATTATACATATATTTGGATGCTATTTTTATTTATGTATAAATAATTTCATAATTAAATATAAAATTTTTTGTATAACAACATTATGAATGATTGATATTAAGTATTTTTATACATCAAAAAAATTACAAAATATAAAATTACTTTTTATAATATAAAACGTCGGTTTGTTTGAAAAAACAAATATACGCGATTTAAATCCGGAAAAATAGTTTCATTTCCTAAATTACTAATTAAATTTTTATTGAATTGATATTCAATTATTTTTTGTGAAATTACTCCACTAGTTTGTTATAATTATTAATACAAAGATCGAACACTCAGAAAAAATTCCTTCGATCCGGTCGGATTCGAACCAGGACTGGTAGCTGTAAAGGTACTAACTGGGTGATAAATCTGTCATAGATTTCTCATAGATGGCGCTACGACTAAAAAGTCGTTGAAAGACCAAGTACAAAGACACGACGCAAGCACATAGAAAAATTCGTGAGGTCCGTTGGTTCGTTCCGTGGCTTAGTTGGTATAGCGTCTGACACGGTATGCAAGAAGACGTCGGTTCGAATCCGACCGGATCGAATGAATTTTTTCTGAGTGTTCGATCTTTGTATTAATAATTATATAAAATTACTGTTTTTAGTTAAATGCGAGTTAAATCACTTTTGCGTTGATAGCCTCAATTAATCACAATCTATTATAAAATTACCTATAATGTAATATCTGACAAGTTACTTTTTCACTGGCTATGGGCTATAGACAATCACCTGTGTTGGGCGGCAAACGTTATGTTCTTTCAAATGCTGCAACCTGACGAGGCTTACTAAATTAACCTAACCTGCCGTGAAGAATGTGTTGACAAAATAAAAGATAAGATGCGTTAAAACTGTTATATTATTAAAATCATGCTTATTAATAAAGGCATATGAAATATACTGTTAGTACTTAGCGTGCTAATAAAAGAAACTTAAAAAATATGAAAGGACAATTCCAAATAACCTAAGGTCCAATACCACATCTTAAACTAAAAACATTACACCATACAAAAACCAAAACAAAAACATCATAATTTTCTAACGTTCATTAATTATAAATTCGTCAAATCAACCTTAACACTAGCAAAGATAATATCTCAAATTCAGTCATGCATTTTTGCATAAAATGGCATTTTTAATATATTCTCGAAAGTAAGTAATTATTTAACTTTTAATTCATAATTATGTCCCGAAATCTGCTTTGTTATTTCATTGGTGCGTTAATTAACACAAAGAACATTAGGGCTGGATCCCACTGGCTCGTCATCGAGTGGCATGGATGGTATTTCTTTTTTTATTTTCTTTATTTATAGCTCTGTGCGGTGCAGTAGAGTTTAATCTTTACACAATGTGTGTCCCTTAGCTAAAAAGGTTCTTATTTACATAAATGTAAATGCACGCTCAGATGCGTGACACGACAGTCACAGAAAAGCCGACGGTTTGAATTTAATTTGGGATTACAACTCAGCCTAACCGTTTACCATCGAGAGACAACATTGAATGCAATACAAATTACATTTTTAATTCCAAATAATATATGAGTTGAATTTGTAATTTACATTAAAAAAATGTTATAAGAACAATCGCGCTAATATCGTGCGTCTAAAAAAACACGTAGTACATCAAATGATCTCTTAATATTAAAATTATTGTGACCAATAATAAAAAGTACACCATGGTGCATAGGTAGTAAAAGTAAAATCAAAGAACACGAATAAAAATGTTTAGTTGTATTAATTGTGCCTTTTAGTCAAATTAAACATTTTCAAAATAGATGTTGTAGCTGGTCGATAAAATGTTTCCGATTTTGTAGTCAAATAAACTGTGCAATACACCATCACAGGTAGATCTTTTTTTATAAACAGTAAAATTATAATGGAAGTGCAAAGGAACTGTACTTAGCACTTTGTTTGCATTGATCTTCAAAATTAGGGGTAAGCTCCTTATGTCAGTACTTTTTAGTACATCGCCAATATTAATTTATTTATCATTATACAGTGCAAGCGTGCCAAATACTCTATATCTTTATTTCTTCTATATAACAGGTATCCACATAAAAGGGTGCGGTAGTGAAGAGTGCTGACAAAGTCCCCTTTTAAGTGTAAAAAAATATGAAGGACGACTGCACGTTAATCATAATTATAGTTAACTGTCAAATAAAATTAGTTTTAAACCATTATTGCATACAGCTGTCAAATAAGATAGAAATAAAACATGATTTAAAAAATAAAAATGTCAAATTAAAAAGTCTTGATAAAATTTCCATCTGTCATTGTGATCATTGTAAGAAAATTTCTATAAAATAAAAAACATGTGTCTCATAATTTGTTAAATAATCAGACATGATGAATGTTTTAGTTTTCTGTTGAATCAAAAGCATTTTTTTTAAAGATTCAATAGTACGTAAAAACATAAAAATTTTAAAAAGACTATCTTCTTTCATTATTCATACATGCATAGATACCTTTGGTACATACCTTTCGTACTTTAGTTTAGACATATAATAAAAACAATAGATAAGTATTGTATACTTTTGACATGCCCAATGCATCACCATACACGTTATCAAACAAATTAGTATAAGTCATACAAAATGTATAATCACAAAGTTATAAAAAACAAATAAAAGAAGCTAAGTAATAGCTTAACATGCTGATGGCAATTGTCAACTTCTCGTGCTGATAATTCAGTGTGGCTAAGTGGATGTTCTCCTTTAGTCATTATGATTACGTTATTTATTAGTTAGTTTTAAGTAATTTGAGGTAGTAAACCTTCCACCATAGACAATGTGTAGCTTGTTAGCTGCGGGATAGGTGACCAGTACATGGAGAGGTACATTGTTTGAAACTACTGATATTCGTGTACCTGATTGTGAAATGAGTAGAATGAATGAATGCTGAGAATAACTGATTTTGGTTGGGAATGTTCATGCACTTTTGCCATATATGGTAAATCTTCACCACTGACTGCCATTTACTAGGTTTGCATGCATTTTTGCTATTTGCGTTACCTTTGCCCCGCCCTAGACTTACCAGGTGCGCAGACTACAGCGGAAGATTCGTGCGTTGTTTTAGTACCGTCGCCTACCATTGCTCTTGATGCGAGTATTCTTCAGGGTGATAGTGGTGGATTGGAGAGGCAGACCGTTGTTGTTACTGCGAAGTACAGGGCAGTAGGTGCTGCAATAAATAGCACATTGACTAATGAGGATTTTGTAGAATTCTAAGGCCATAGTTGACCCTACACTAACGTGACCAAGACCATTATATTTTCCCATCAGAGTGGGACTGGGAGCCTGTAAATGTTATTTTTGTTTCAAAATAAAACATATTCATGATAGTTTACGAAACGTACAAAAACTTAAAAAAAAGAACTTAAAATTTTTTATGATCAAAAATTTAAAAAAAGTACTAATCTTGTGTAGGCTAGTGGGCTGGCTGGACAGCGGGACACGAAGCTCAAAACTGGACCCACAATACCATACACCTATTTTTAAGGAGGTTTTTACCTCTATCATATTCTATAGTAAAATAAAAACTTACATGGTGTGTGCATCATCCCCTGTGCCTCCACAAGTTGAACAGATGTGAGATCTCAAAATCGGACATGTTACAATACTCTTGTTCCTCACTCTTTCCCTGACCCAATGAGTCATGTAGACTATTGGAGTTTCTCCATTCTTGCGACAAAATGTACACATTTTTCCTGGTTGAATATCATGGCTATACATTGATGAAGTGGAGGGTACTGGAGACCCAAGAGGTTTCGGGATAGCCATAGCATTCGTGCATGGAGTAGAAGCATTAAAACTCTGCATTGGAGAACTGAGATTCAAATTTGGAGAGATGCTTAAGAGACTGGGTGAAGCATTCGAAATATTTGGTGAAAATGTAGGTGAGATGCTACTTGTGGATTTCACAGGTGATTTGAATTCATATCCTCTATTTTCAGTTGGGAAAAGTTCATATATGTTGTTTCTGGGTTCCGTAAAAGAATTATTAGGTGGTGTATGTTGAAATAAAGCATCATCATGCCAAATTGACTGTGAAAAGTCTATATCTTCAGGAATTGTTGTAATTGGAGTAGTAATGGTACTGTCAAGACAGTTATCAGCATTTGTCATGAATTTCCTTCCCATTATTGGACGTTGTCTTCTTATAAAAGTGTGTTCCTGTCTAGGTGTTTCACAGATCGGTTTTGGTGTTCTACATATTGGTCTATCAATGTCACACGGTCTGGAAGTTTCAGATAGTCCAGGGTTATCAAATAGAGCTCTGGGAGAAACATAACATCCTCTTGGAGAATTGTACATGGTTCTTGGTGTGTCATAGATGGGTTTTGAAATATCAGATACAGGTCTGGTGGTACCATAGACCGATTTTGCAATGTCTGAGCGATATTCAGGTTGAAATGCTGCTAGGTCCGGGTAGGATTCTGGTGATGTAGAATCGGTTGAACTGGATGAACGGTTCACCAGTGACTGGTTGAGTGGTGACTGTGCTGTCATACTGTAAGCTTGTTGGATATCTGTAAACAGAGCAAAAACACAAAATTAATCAAGAAAAAGTTGTATGTAGGCTCTGGCAAAGAGTGAGTTTTCTTAAGAAAGTTTTTAGTTGCAATAGAGCTCCTTGTGAAAGGTTTCAGCCAAGGAAGTACTGCCACTTTATCTATTATTGCCGCCAAGCAGTTACGTGATTATTACTGCGTTCCGGCTTTGAAGGGTAAGGTTGCTGGTGAAATTACAGGCAAGTCCCTTTGTCAACTTATGTCTCAGGGCGCAGTAGCAGTGCCTGTCAGATGTTGGTGATTTAAAGCTCTGAGTAGCACTGCAGTTGTTATGGATAGGCGTGTCTCTTACCACCATTATTCTTTCCCTCAATTAGTATAATAAAAAGATGAAGAAAATGTTGGAGTATTCAACACTTTTAAGATGGTGTGATGGTGGAACAGATTTTCTTAAAAGGCAATTTCTATCCAGAAGCAGTCAGTGACCAATCAATATTTGGTTGCAGCTTTGAGATCTACATGAAACTGCTTGCGCATTTTTGACAACAATATCCCTGTTAATGCCGAAGAGCTACTAAGGTAAAGCGGGTTGCGCCGGCTACCTGTGGTGTGTAAAGCTCCGACAGGATAAAATGTAATTGCCTTAATAAAATTACATTTAATGAATGGGAAAACTGTAGGGCAGTACCTATAGGACTCTTTCCCTACTATGATGTGCATTACAATTAAGTTTCAATAGAAGTCAAGGCCATATGAAGTCTGATACTTTGGATTGAAATTTAACACTATGATGCTTGCTATAAAACAATTCAAAGTATTTACTCATCCTCTTGATTGAGCAATCAAGAGAATACTGTGATTTGTACTATAGATTGTTTATGTTATTATTATTAGGGTTTTTTTTATATCAAGTGATGGGAATACCAAGTCACGAACCTGATGGTAAGCTACACGCCTGTTCATGACAATTGCAGTGCCACTCAGAGCTTTAAATCACAAAGATCTCAGGGGCACTGCCACTGCGCCTGTCACCATGAGACATAAGTTGACAAGTCCCATGTGACTGTAATTATACCAGCACCCTTACCCTTCAAAACTGGAACACAGTAATACTGACATTTCTGCTTGGTGGCAGTGCTTCCCTGGACGAACTTTTCCCAAGGAGCTCTACTGCTATTAACAAATAAATAATAGGGTGATTTCGTTTGGGGTATATGCAGCCCTTCATCACTACAACCATCAACTGATCTATTGTGATCACCACTAATTACAGTTCAGAGCCAAGACAGAGAGCATTGGAGAACTGATGGACTTTCCTGGCTCTGACAGATTATATGGTTGTATATGTCTTCCCAAGATGGAGCTTCGTACACCCATTAGGGGGTAGCATTGAGATGAACAGGAGTTTCATCTGCCTTGTGGCAGAATCTTCACTCTATTCTCTCTCTGCCCAATATTTTATTGACATGTGCTGTGTTCAAGGTACAATGTTCTGTTAGTGCTAGTGATCATGCTTCTCTACAGTGTTTGGCATTGTAGGCAGCTATCAGGGCTTTTGAATGCTCAAGACCCTTGCTTTGTGGCCACACTTCTCGGGAGACGTGTGCTCTCGTTCTGCAGAGTGAGCTTAGCCAGACTGTATGCTATAAAATGTTCAGGTCCAATAAAGGTTTCCCAGTTGTTTATGTTAAATATAACTATTAAGTTTGAAGCCCTGAGAGCATGCTGCTGTTGATAGTACAAAACAAACTATTGAGTCGGTCCTTCGAGTCAACTGTATATTCTAGTCTTTATATTAGAGTAGCTAGAGTTCAATTTCTTGGACTGAACTTGACATAACTTATTAATCAAATAATTATAGGTAATGTAGATATCATTAGCTCTGGTAATGATGCAATTTGTCGCTTTTATTAGATATTTGTGTAAAAATACATTAAAATAGTGTTATAGGTTAAAAATATGGGAGTGTCTTACCATTTTCGTTGGTTCTTGGGAATAACTTGTTCATCTCACTCATATAATCCACCA